TCATAACGATTGGGGCGATGGTGACTGGTGGGAATTCCCCACTGGGGAAGCAGGTGGACATGGAGCGTAGTTGTTTGTACGCTCTTGACATCTGGATTACAGATAGACCTAGTTGACATATGCATACGTACATTGCTTGGCTTGAAAGCCACAGTATCGCCGATGAAGGCGACAAGGAACAGGAGTGTAGATAACATTAGGAATCGAACAATGAGAGAGTAAACCTAAATGTTGAATCATAAGTCCTCAGTTTGTCGAAAACTTTTCGACAAACTGAGGACTTATGATTGACAGTGATTGCGCTTTTCGACGGAAAGGCTTTTCGGAAAAGCGTAGACCACTTGTGATCCGTCCTCAACCTGTCGGAAAGGACGAGAGCTAGCTTACAATCTCTGAATTCCTTCGCACGCAAAGACAGTCTCGTATTGAGAGTAATGACTTCGCGTGTGGAGGAGAATCACTGGTGGGCCTATCAAGCCTATTACTATTTGGGTTAGTAACCCAATTTCCTCAGAATGAAGTCAGCGCGCTTTCAAAGAAAGAGGTTTGTGATACAAACTTTGTGTAGGTTCACTGATTCGGAAGTGAAACAATACCGCGAAGTTTGAACGGGGAGAACCAACCCAAAGACAGTCACGTTCTTGAAGGTGGTATCATCGCTCTCGAGTAACACTGAATAAACACTTCATCAATTGCCTGAAACCTCGTTCGGAATAGCACAGCGGTCAACACTGATGTTTCAGTCGTATAGCACTGACATCAAAAACAAGACAAGCTTACTAGGCCTTGTCTCGTGGATCGACCGCTGCAAACTGATACATAATTTAAACAACGAAGCGAGATATCGAAGCACAGCATTCCTCGCTGTGAGGGAACAGAACAAGACATCGTTCATACCAAGAAAGTGGATGACTATGACCACGAATTGAGTGACAATTGAAGGTTAAACTGGAAAATATCTTTGAGGACAAATTCTTATGACTCGATAGGGATGATGCTACTCAGAGCATTACGAAACATATGTACAGAATCAAGAATGGAACAGGCACCGTCTAACATCTTGACGCTGACCAGTACACAAAGATAGACCAAAGACTAGATGACTAATATCTCGGCGAACCAGGCAATTTAAAAGTACACAGGACTGGCATGCCAGATCTCCCACCGCCAGTTCCAGTCGTGCTTGTAGACCAAGAGATTTACCCAGGCGTTAAGATTCACGCCAGAGAAGAACTGCCACTTGTTAGGCACGTTATCCATAGTGTTGCCCTTAATATCGACCGAGACTCCAGCACCAGCAAGCCAAAGAGAGATGCTGGTTCCAATCTCGCCATAGGCGGTAATTACATTGTTTGGTTTCGCAGTACAGCCAAGCTTAGCCCATATACTCCAATGAATGATGGAGCCAACAACAGGTAAGTTCAAGTTGAAAGTGACTTTGATCTCTATCTCGGCTTTGAAAGTGCGCTTGTCGGGCTGCAGCAAATCCTCCCCAGAGGCCGATCCAGAGATACAAACGACGATATTAAGGCTGACACCCTCGCCCCACTGCCAGACAATTGCGCACCCCTCAGCTTGAACGGTCATGTTGAGTACGGGAGCACCATCGGATTTCCCTAGTTCAATGCTCACTTTCAATGAAGCGGACTTTTTGTCATCAGTCACGTCTACGAAGGTCATTCCGGCATGAAGAGAGAACTTCTCCATAGTGGCATCGACAGAGACAAAGATACAATACCTTTGCACTTGCTTGCCCTCCTCGTTTCTGCAGCTCGTGGGGAATTCGAACTTGACGAGTTCAACCATCCGCCTGTTGTATTCCGTGTGGAAGAAGGTATCGGCGGCGGATCCTTTGGGAATGCCGAAGTACATCACACCGGCCTTTGCACCAAAGGCTCCTGACAAGCCTGTACGGAGTCTTTGGGGACCCAGCCAGTCCACTTCTTCCGCATCTTCGAAGAAGGTACGCTCATCTTCCGCAACGAATGTGGCGGTGACGTAATCGAGATTGACTGGGGGAGCATCAACATCATTCTCTCCCAAACGGCGGGAACTGGTGATCTGATAGGTCGTATGCATCTCCTTCTCGGCTTCAGCGACATCGATGGCATCATCGAGCTCCTCGTGGTTGGAGTAATCGGTCTCCTGGAGGGTTTTACCTCTAATGCTGTTTATACCAAGAAGTTTGACTGGTTTCTCATCGTTGGAATCGGTATAGAAAATCCAGTGGTCAGGGTACATACCCGTCTGATAAAGAGCTGAGTAGTTTGCCTTGCTGGTGGCATCGACTCCCTGAGGACCCCATTTGATGTACTTGTGAACGGTAGCACCACCGAGGGTTGTGGTGCCTTCGGACGTCCATCCGTCTTCCTGAAGGCTTCCAGGGGCCTTGGCCGCACCGAGAAGGCGCACAGATTCCGGCTCCTGTTTTGTCTCAGAAATTGTGATAGCCTGATTCTTGTAAAGCTGGTCGATACGTGTGGTCTCGGGGCTTTCAACAGTCATAAGGAACTGATAGGGACGACTCGGCATCGCCTTAACCCTGATGAGACCATCCTTGGCGACTATCATATCCTCCCTAATAGTGACAGAACCATCCTCCATACCAGGGAGGGTGAGGCCATAAGTCTCCATTGCCATGGATTTACCACATGGAGCGGGGTTGTTGTGCACGTCCTTGACATCTGGATTACAGATAGTCCTAGTTGACATATGCATACGTACATTGCCTGGCTTGAAAGCCTGAAGATCGTCGATGATAGCAAAGAGGATCAGAAGTGTAGACAACATGATGAATAAAATAGCGAGAGATAGATCCTAAGTATCGACTCATAAGTCCCCAGACTGCCGAGAAGAGTACAGCACTTTTGATCCATTCCCGACCAATCGAGAAGGACGAGGGCTAGCTCACTGTCTCTGAAATCATGCGCACGAAAACACCATCATGGCCAGAACGCGCGCGCAAAATGGATACCTACTGTCGGGTAGTCTATTCCGAATAGACTATTCGGCATTCCAATATAGACTAGACGGAATTCCGAGCTTGCTCTGTTCTTTCCACACGTTTTTCCGCTCAGGAATTCGACCTCTTGATCAATTTACGATGCACTGCTCCAAGTGATTACCGCTGTGGGATATTTCACGCGCGCACAACACACATGTGCGTCTACGAGATGCAACAGTTTCTCTTTTTTGGAAAAACGAGCCGCACAAATCTCCTGATTTTATCCAAACACCAGAGGGCGGTAGTAGAAAGAAAAGAAATCAAGGACTCACGAAAATCGGTAAAGTGGATCGAGCGGTACAACTTATCAAACCTGCTGGCAAGCGAGATATCTATGACAAAGGCGTACGCCGGCATGCGACAGGTGTCTCTAGCACACAATTGAAGGGATTGACAGGTACGAGCTGATACGCGTAATCACTGATTACTAACCAGATGTTTGGGAATCGAGAGTTAACGCGAAATGTATCGAAAGAGTATGGTGTTGAGCGGAAGGTTCGACGTAATAAACTAGAAAGATATAAACACGTGAACATCTCCGTACACGCTGTCCCTGTCTCAGCGCACAATTGGTAGTTAAGCAGGGGGTGGGTGCAGCCGTACTACGGCTGCAGACCAGCCGGTCTACTAGACCAGTAGACTGCAGGTCCAAATCCCGGCAATGTCGCTTTTCACTAGTTTATCGCTGTGTTTGCGTATCGGTGTCCCGGCAGCTTGTTTGACATCTACAGTTGATGATAGATGCTGCACGTTTTGAAGTTCGATCAACAGTTGCTGCACGAGCCCGATAGTGGTACGAATGGTATCGCCGTTTTTTCTGATTAACGGAAAGAGTTAACGAATCTGAAAATGTCTGTGAAATCCCAAGAAGAAGGTATCACCACTCGCACGCTTATACCAACGCAACGCACTCGAAAGATTGGGACACAATTGTGTAACGCTGAAGCACCTTAGCGAATCATGAATGTGAAATCGATCACTATGATATAATTGTAGTTTGCAATATTAGTAAGGCTCTTAATGAGAGCTGAGCTACCTGCGAACATGACCGTGGGTATCGGTCTACAAGGGAATTCTGAAATGTTAACCCGCCCACTACCAACCCTGAGTACGGCTATGTCAATCGCCAGTGACGTACGAATGGTATACTACCAGAACACCTGTAGTACTGTACTATTAGTACAGGTTTTCGCTTGATGACCATAAATGGCCCGATTGGACGGTTAGATAGACTATCCAACATGATGTCGATCATTTTAAACCATTTTATTTGACATCATGTGTCGTCTTCGGCGACTCGCCGACGATTAGGCGGTAAAGGGCCCTACATTCACAGACTATGGTCACACGAGTGAGTTTTATCTGCTAGCTTGACCATCTAAGACCTACAGCGGTCTCAAAACCCACTGGCGCTATGACATGGAAAACCGAAACTAACTCGCCACAGAGTCACAATGCTCGTGTTCGGGTTTCATGTTTAGGTTTTCCTCCCGCATACCCTTCCGCCCGTTCGTGGGATTTTACGTTTGACTGCATCACATCTGATATGTATCGTATGTGTTGGATACAGCAGATTGGCGGTGTGGTTCGGACAGATCTTCTGACCGAACCGTCTAGCCACAGAAGCCGTGTGTATTTGGGGACACCTCTTGTCCAATTTCGCTTTCTCTTGCCTTCGCTGTACGCCAATAGTTTGTATTTCGCGGGGAGTCAGTCAGGTGATGGCAAGTATGATATCATCGTTCTGGTGATCATATTATCAGAAACTGTGACAACATAGGGGTTTATTCAAGGAACCCTACTACTCGCCATAGGTTCGCCGGCTAGGTGGTAGCCGCGCCGGTTTTGCAAAAAACCAATCCATCACCCAAACAAATTGCGCGCGCTGGGGTGGGGGCCCCGAGCGCGCGGTGAAATCGAACCGACATTACCTCAGGTAATGTCGGTTCGATTTTACCGCGCGCTACCTAAATTACCGCGCGGTAATTTACCTGCGGTATAAAGGGAAATTTCCACCCCTCTTTTTCGGACGTAGCCGTATAATGGCGTTGAATTTCAAATGACATACGCCCCAATCGTACCGCAAACTGATGTTGCAACATCTTTTGACGCTAGCAAGTAGTCGACTGTTCTTACGAGAGTCCCCTGATGAGAGAAGTGAAATGAGTGAAGTTTTGCTCGAGTTTTAGTGAGGTTGCACAGTGCCACAATGGTGTTGAGTAGTGTAGAGAAGTTAGGAGAAGGATCTTCACGACAACCGAAGGGAAGTGCCCGACTAAAAAAAAGTTAACCGAAAACCCGAAGGGAAAAGGTGAACCATAAACCCGAAGAGAAACAGGTGAGCCAAAAACCCGAACAGAAACAGGTGAACCCAAAAACCGGAAGAGAAACAGGTGAACCCAAAAACCCGAAGAGAAAGCAAGTCAACCAAGAAGCCTCAAGCAAGCTGTCGAACCCGGCGGCGCTGGGTCGGCGCGCTGAAACGGTTTGTTTGCGCCTCCCCTGAGGAGGTGACCCTAAGATCTTGCTCATTTCGAGAATCCTCGTATTCCCTCAGTTCTCCGCGCTAAATGTCCTTTTGGGCTAAAATAGAAATGATCCTTAATGACGAGCAATACATGATACAACAGTCGCGTTCTTCTGCTCTATGGATACTACGTACCATTGTACCGCTGGTCCCCCCCGCGGGTTTTGTTTATTTCTTTGATTGGTTAAGGTTAATGATGAACGTTTCACTTGTGATTCGTATGATCTACTATGTCAGACGTGTATAACTCTGTTTCCACAAATAGATTCACTCACTACTGCTCTGAGGCCCCCCTGGGCTTCCCACAGAACACATTGGGTGTTTCTAAGGTGTATGGGATACAACAAAGATAATAAGAAGTCGTAGGTCGCTTCTTCTAGAAATGTCTAACGTAAATGCTAGCGCGACCACCCACTGGTGGCAGGCAATCCCACATGAATTCGAAGTGAAATAAACCAACACTTCTTAAGATTCGCTAGTCTATGGTATATTCTATCACCAGCGTGAGAATATATGCACATAGTCTGCTACATGTGTTGATATGTAAGCCTTGGTTGTTGTACACTTCTACTCAAAATCATGTGTGATTCTTTCAAAATGTAGCGAGGAAACTTACGAGCTCCGTTCGGGAGACCAAACATATATTCCAAGTTGGAATTTCCAACGCTGTCTGTCACCATCACAAAGTTGTGTGTGTTAGATTATCATTCGCTCTCTAGAACAATCTTGCTGTCTTGAGATTTTGATACTTTTGTTATTTATTTTGAAACGGTTGGAGCAGTTGAGGGCGAAGTCCCGAAGATAGTTAGTTCAGTTATTTCTATCTCTCTCTGGATATTATCAACAGAGTTGTGTTGGTATGTACGGTAACGAAGAAGTTGACTATGGTGATGATGACAGTATTTCATCCTCTTGGGATGATACTGCACAAACATGGGACACTCATCTCTTTCATGTGGGAGAAGCGAATAAGATCACTACAGTGTGGTAAAATTTGCGCACGGTCAACCACATGTGTTGGTGACAATATGAAAACTCTGAGGAAAATTTGGAAAGTCGTTTGTTAGTGTCTGTACACTGATCGTATATATTCTCCCAATTCGTACATAAAATTTTATGATTAGTGAGGGAAATTTGGAACTCAGCTGAGGAAAGCGAACATTTTTTGCAGCACTGGATCACTATGTGGTTGTGTCGTCCGACGGGACAAATGCTCACAATAGATCGAGGACTTGTTTATTATTAGATTTTAAGTTTTCTGCCATATTAATGATAGCAATACTAACAACGCCAATACCAACGTTGGTGATATTATTCCTCAACGCGACGATTTCGGTATCTCTTTTCGCAGTTTCTGGGTTTGGAAATGCGGTTTTGTATCAGATTTTATGGTAAGGACGTGGAGACATTTGCCTAGGAATGTAGAGTGGTTCATTCAGCGTGTCTTTTTGCTTGGGTCGAGTACTACAGTACTTAGTGGCAGTTTGATATTATGCAAATGTGAAGAATGTGCATTTTCTATTCCGGGATTAATGATAGTGAACAACGTGTCGCTATCATAGTCTCGAAAGGTTACTTTTATCACATCACATGTTCATACCAATGTTCACATTTTTTATGCGATATAGTTTCAGATCGATTCTCATAAATCTAGGAAAATTGCACACATTTGAATTGTATCAAACTGGCTCACACTGTAGTCTGATATGATTCCGAGATGTGGTCATTATGCGGTATTTTACACTGGAAGGAATTCCGTGATATCTCCCATAATCACTCGTGTATCGTTTATACTCGAGTATAAACGTCCCGAATATGTGACTATTTCGTCAGGTATACGATGGGTTTAATCGTTCCAAAATACTGTGATGGCTCAGTGGTCACCGGTGCTATTCAGATTGCCGTAATAAACATGACATTTCTACCGTTTCTCATCGTTCTCGTTTTCCCTCAGTTGCACGCTCCGCTGATGTCTACAATTCAATTCTTAAAGTTGCGGCATTCCACTAATTATTGGCTTGCAGCATACCTTTCTATTTCAGGTGAGAATACAGTAAAAACGGAGTCGCTATCTTCCGCTTTTGCTCATGAGAGAAATTAACAAAATTAGACTTGATGCTATGTGCTCTTGAAACTACAGTGTGTGTTAGTTGGGTATGCAAATGTGAAGAATGTGCGTTTTCTATTCCTGGATTAATGATAGTGAACAACTTGTCGCTATCATAGTCTCGAAAGGTTACTTTTATCACATCACATGTTCATAGCAATGTTTACATTGTTCATGCGATATAGTTTCAGATCTCGGAAAATAACACACATTTGCATCATATCAAATTGACACCCATTGCATATGTAAAAACATCAGTTATATTCATCGCAATTTTCAATCATCTTGTCCAGTGTTGGAGTAGGAATATATGTTCGCTTTCCTCAGCTGAGCTCAGGAGTGAACACAGTGTTGGAGTAGGAATATATGTTTGCTTTCCTCAGCTGAGCTCAGGAGTGAACACAGTGTTGGAGTAGGAATATATGTTTGCTTTCCTCAGCTGAGCTCAGGAGTGAACACAGTGTTGGAGTAGGAATATATGTTTGCTTTCCTCAGCTGAGCTCAGGAGTGAACACAGTGTTGGAGTAGGAATATATGTTTGCTTTCCTCAGCTGAGCTCAGGAGTGAACACAGTGTTGGAGTAGGAATATATGTTTGCTTTCCTCAGCTGAGCTCAGCAGTGAACACAGTGTTGGAGTAGGAATATATGTTTGCTTTCCTCAGCTGAGCTCAGGAGTGAACACAGTGTTGGAGTAGGAATATATGTTTGCTTTCCTCAGCTACTGAGCTCAGGAGTGAACACAGTGTTGGAGTAGGAATATATGTTTGCTTTCCTCAG